ATGTATATATACGAAGAACGAGTTTGTGTTGCGTGTGTACACTCGATGCGTCTACGGATATACTCACAGAGTAATCGCTGAATCGGTATTCCGTCGACTGACAGACCTAGGCAAACAATGGACGTTTGATTGTTCAAGATTTAGTGCTGGTTTACTACCGTCGAATTCGAATTCGCGATATCGCGTCGCTCAGTAGCGTGGGTGTGTCAGCATCTGCATTCACAAGCTGCGCGAAACGTTCTCGATTTTCCGCCAAGTACAATTCCAAACAAGACTTGATTTCATCAAATCTTGCAGCTGATTACTCTCAATAATGAACACGAGAGATCTCAATAATAAGTAAAAATATATATAGCAATAGCAATACGACAGAGAAATCTATGTAAATAACTTAAGAAAAATAACCTTAGCCTGTTAAAAGATGGACTGTGCGCATTATATTGCTGCAATTTGAGTCTACTTGGATTAGAAATAGAAAAGATGCTTTTACCTGGCAAACGCAACGGCTATTCGTGCATTATCAAATAATTACGGAAAAAAGAGTGACATTCGGGCTTCCACTTGCACTTTGCAAGATAAAACGTTACGCTTAGCTTACATCTCGTCGAAAGGCGATACGGCATTTACATTATTTTACATTAAATGCCAGACGAACGAAACTCGACCGCGTACTCATGCCATCCCCAACGTCGTCCTCGGGCATACGGTCGTGTCAAAGTGGTATTTTCAATAGTCCGTGCACTGGAATTCGCCCGATAGTCGGAAGAATTTGTATTTCCCCGCGAATCGCAGTTAGTCATCGGAAACAGGTCCGCTTAGATACGGGTGCGTCTTAGGAATCTGTTGGTATTCACAATTACACGCGGCAGAACCTCTATCAAACTTCCTCCTCGTGGCAATTACGAGTTTTGCATATTTACATATTACAATAACGCCATTGTTTTTAGATGAAACATTATGCACTTAAAAGTTTCGTCACAAATTCTACGATAGCGGTGTACAAAATAATACAATTATGCTATTTCCGAATCACGATAAAATCTATACAAGATCTGAGATTGACGAGGGCAGACATTTCTGTATCTTGGAACGCGAGCGATGGTCAGAAGAATTTGAATCTCTCTCCCAGACAAGGGTCTGTCATATCGGAAGGCTGGAAGTGGGCGCATTGAACGTCTTAGGAATTCGACCGATTCCGCAGCCGAGAAAACAGAATTCGATTGGGAACAAGACAAGCGAGATCATTCCCCTTCGACCCCAACGGCTCGGAGAGAATGCGGAGTATCTGTACTTTCATAAATACTATAAGCCCCTAGCGTCACCTCCTCTCAAATTGAGAGAAAAGATTTAGTGATGTCTCAAAGCTGCTTGATATTTATTTTTCGTACTCACACAAAATATGTTGAAAAAAATTTAATACCAACTACTCATATTTAATTTTTTGAATAATGCAATTTTCAAACGTTGTCATCGTACGTCCAAAATCCAATTTTAATAATCACAGAAGCACAAGAGACATACTTGCTTATCGAGTGCGAGAACTTGGACTGATTTTTATGTAATCTTATATATAGACAAAACCGCGAGAACCTCGTGGATGCGCGCGAATGCATTTAGTGTCGCTACATTTCGCTTTTGTCAAAACACGATTGTGTTGATTACAAATAAACTGAACAGACAACCGCTTTACACGCGCCAGTAAAATCCACACGCGTGTCTGTCTGCGTTTAAGCAGACTGCGACGAGGGTGGATAGGGGAGCTGGTTTCGTTAAAACAACCCCCTATGTCGCGCCTCCGCGCTTTGGCCTCCAGCTTCTACGACGTCAGCCCTTTCTCCCGCCGCAACCGCGTCTCTGGCAATTCACTGATCCGCATTTAGGACAGGAGGCGATATTTAGGCCGAAGGGGTGAGAGGCCTCGAAGTTAATTAGATCGACTTCGTCAAGGCGCATCCACTTAACTTCAACGCCGCGTCAGAGACACGTCGCAACCATGACTGCTTCCACCGGCTGCACGCGCGGCAAAAGAGAAACGCTAACATTTCCCGTTGAACCCTCTGAAGCACTTTGGAAATCAAAATGACCGTGCAAATATATTACACATACAAATATATTTTTAAATATTAATTAACCGTGATTTTT